TAGCACTTTCGTGACCACGGGCTGAGAGTCTTTTGCTAGATTTTGGCATTTAGCAACTGACATACGGTTTAATGTGAAGACAAACAAACAAAAACAAACAAAACCCATAATTTTTTTTGTAAGACACGGAAGAACTTCCAACAATTAAGAAGTACGTATGTTTTACATAGCTAGTTTTCGAGGGGTAGAACCGGGTAGATGCCCGTCTCCCACCAATCACCCGTCGAATTTGTAAGACGTTTTGTAAGATTGTAAGATAGAGACAGATGATTCGGCGATGGACACGACGCTCTCGGCAAAATCACCGAAATCCTCTTGAACAGCAGCACCATACACATCACGCAGACAACATACGATACAACCAGCACAGTAGCATACGGACTGCTGTAGGCCAAGGGAAGCCAAAGCCACACATCATGAGAGGCGTTGGGTATGACTCTTGCAGCCCGTTGCCTGCTGTCGGCAGCACAAGCGCGAGTGACAACGCAAGTCAATCCGCGGTCGGTCTGCATCATCACCGTCACCGTACCGATCTTTGGAGCTTCCCGCACAGACACATCCCCACGATAGAGAAAACGAGGCCTATACACACTGCTGTAGGCCAAGGCCGGCCAAAGGCACACATCATGGCTGGCGTCGGAAGCTATTTGTAGACCCCGAGCCCTACTGCTAGCCACGTAAGCAAGGGAACATGCGAGTGCACACACGTCATCAGATGATCTCTGTCCGCGGTCTCTTCGTCTGCCGGGCGATCTTTTCACAACAGACGCACCCCGGAAACAGAGACAAGTGAGATGGGCACAGCTCTGTAAGCCAAGGGCGGCCAAATACGCACGTCGTGGGAGGGGTCCGCGCCAAATTTTAGAGCCCGTTGCCCTTTGCTAGTAGCGAAAGCGAAGAAAGCAACACGTGCACAGCAGCAGAGGCGGCAGCAACAACAGGAAGCAGCACCAGCAGCAGCAGCACTGCTGCCGCTGAGCTGATGATGATGAGAGCTAAAAAACAGCGCTCCCATTCATCCCCTGACTGACTGGTGGTATAGGGTGAGGTGTGAGCGTGCGCACTGGTGACCTACGTGGTGGTAAAGGCTCCATCCACATCTATCTACGCTTGCTTGCTTTGATGTCTCTCTCCGACCCTTCGTTTCGCGCTTCGATCGAAATGATTAATTTTTTTTGTTGGACCCCTATTATAGTCTAAGATATAGTAGCTGTCGCTAAAACGAGCGACAGCTGATAGATGTAACTGTCGTCAGACGTGTGCGTCCGCGGGAGGTGGAAGAGACCCTTTCTTCTTCTTTTTCTCTTTGCAATTCACGTCATTGGTTACCCGCGACGGCGCTGAAGACGCCCATGTCCGTGTACTTGACCCTCGTACTCTGTGCTAACTCCCCAAGTCTAACCTCTTCCTGCAGCCTAGCCTTCATCGTCGGCGAATTTCCAAGGTTACCAATCCTGTCGAAACTCATGGGCTCTACCATGAGGTCCACAAGTCTCTTCGCCCTACTGAGACAGACGAAAGTAAGCCCCGTGCAGGCCTCCTTGGGCCCCAAGTCAATGACGGCCTTGGCTAAAGTCTGCCCCTGGGACTTGTGCATCGTAATTGCCCAGCAGAGCCTAAGGGGCAGCTGCGTCCTGACCTGCGTCCCCCCGTCCTGCCAGGTGGTGTCGACGGGAGAAATAGGGACACAACGTCTATACCTCTCCTGAGACGACCATTCCCCCCCCGAGTACCCTTCAAACTTGACGACAACGTAAAGGGGGAGCTTCGGCGGGGGCGCATCATCTGCGCACACCAACTCG